GTTAACTGTGGAGCCAAGCAAACTAAAGCTGTGTACAATCTCAGTCTCTTCACCATCCATCCTGATACTGCCAATTGGTCCAGTGGTGAGAATATTTGCCTTCTTGACATTGAGCCTCAATCCATATTGGAGGCTGCAGTCCTTGACCCTCTGCAACAAGCGCTACAGGTCCTGCTCAGTTTCTGCAAACAGGGTTGTGTCGTCTTCATAACAGATTGTTGATAGATCTTCCACCAATCTTGTCCCCACATTTCTTCTCATAGAGCCCAGCCTCCCAGATAATCTGTTGTGCATACAGGTTGAAAAGGTATGGAGACAACATATGATTAAGAGCCTATGGTGATGAAGGAAGAAGTTCAAGCTGCTTTGAAGGAAATGGCAAAAAATAAGGCCTCAGGAATAGATGCTATACCAATTGACATATTTCAGCTACCAGATGCTGCCCTGGACATGCTCACGAATTTGTGCCAAGAAATCTGGAGAACAACCACTTGGCCAACTGACTGGAAGAAGTCAATATTTGTTCCCATCCCAAAGAAGGGCGACACAACTGAGTGTGGAAACTACAGAACAATATCATTGATTTCACATGCAAGCAAGATTCTACTGAAGATTATCCAAAAACCACTGGAACAACACATCAGCGGAGAACTGCCAGAAGTTCAGGCTGAGTTTAGAAGGGGTTGTGGTACTAGTGATACTGTAGCTAATGTTAGGTGAATCTTAGGAATATATCTATCTGTGTTTCATTGACTATGCAAAGGCGTTTGACTGTGTGGATCATAACAAGCTGTGGCTGACTCTGAGAAGAATGGGAATCCCAGAACACTTGATCGTGCTAATGAGAAACCTATACTTGGACCAAGAGGACTTGCTCGTCAGAACAGAGCAAGGAAACACTGCATGTTTCAAAACTGGGAATGGCGCCAAGGATGTGTCCTGTCTCCATATACTGAATAATAATAATCCTAAAACATTTACTTGTACTCATGTAGAAATTGTTTGTAGAGCAAGATGTTCGCACAGAGCAGGGCACTGCAACATGGCTTAAAAGCATGAGCTGTGCATCAGAATTTTGCCCTTTTCCCTTACTTGTTCAATCTGTGTTCTGGGCAAGTAATCTAAGAGGCTGAACTATATGAAGAAGAGTGAGGCTCTTTTCTAAATAAAATGTTCAAATAGATTACTTGATTAATAGGAGACTCCCTGTCAGGGTTAAGAAATTCCAGTAACAAACGATTTCTGAAAGCTATCTTTCATTTACCTACTTCTGTATGTAATATAATATAATGAACCCCAGTGGTATCATGTGTAATATGTCAGACTGTTAATCAAATAGTTAGCAGTTCAAGTCCACCAGCTGCTCTATGGGATAAAGGTGGGTAATCTCTTCCCATGAAGACCTACAGTTTTGGCAACCTGATAGAGGGTTGCTATGATTTGGAACCAGTATAACTTAATAGTTTTATAACTTTTCTTTATATATGCTGTGGAGAGTCTTCCTAATCACTAGAAGAATAAACAATGCCTTTGAGCTATAGTGTTGGAGAAAAGTGCTAATATCCCATGATCTGTCCAAAGAACAAACAGATATGTCTTGGAGAAAGTGCAGAGTGCTCCTTAGAGGCAAGGATGGGAAACTTTGTCTCACATATACTTTGGGCATGTTCTTAGGAGGGGCCAGTCCTTGGAAAGGGACATCACGCTTGGAAGTGTGGAGATCAACACAGGAGAGGAAGACCCTCACCTGGATGGATTGACACAGTTACTGCAGCAATGGACTTGAGTACATCAGGATGATGAGGATGGCACAGGATATCACAGGGTTTAGATCCATTGTTCATAGAAGTGCTGTGAGTTGTACTCAGCTGGATGACACCTAAAAAACCAACATGGAGGTAGATAGTGCTTGAGTCATAGAATTCTTGTCTATTATGTGGGAGGCCTAGGTTTGATTACCACCCAGTGCACCTCATCCTGAGCTACCACTCATCTATCAGTGGAGATTTGCGTGTTGCTCTGATGTTGAAAAGATTGTAGCAGTGCTTGAAGGCAGATTAGGAAGAAAGGGCTGGTGATCAGCTTCTGAAAATCAGTCAGTGAAAATCCTCTGGATCATGGTGTAGTTCTGTCATGCATAGGGTCTCCATGAGTTAGAATTGATTCAGAGGCAGCTGACAACATGTATATTACATTCTCAAATAATAGGTTTTCTAAATATAAAAAAATATAATTTGGATAGTATTAGAAGTGTCCCCTCACAAGCATGTCATTATCTCTTGTAGTTCCGTCACCAGGACAGCTTCAACACAGAGTCCACAGCGTGGGACATTTCCCAGTGTCTGTCCGACAGCCTCTTAAAGCTACAGCCTATGTGAGTCCAACCGTTCAAGGCAGCAGCAACATGCCCTTGTCCAACGGCTTACAGTTATATTCCAACACCGGAATCCCCACACCAAACAAAACTGCAGCTTCTGGGATAATGGGCCGCAGCGCACTTCCAAGACCTTCACTGGCAATAAACGGGAGCAACCTGCCTCGAAGCAAAATTGCACAGCCTGTTAGAAGGTAAGAGGCTGGAGGATTGTTTCCTTACAAGACTTCATTTGTAGTTTGGAGTTAGAAACTCAACTTTTCATTTGGCTCAGCTTCCCCTTAGATTGTCACCCTACTCCTCAAGGCTTGCCTTGGGCAGCAAAGAGAAGGGGATCCGTACATGACTGAATCCCCTTTTCTCCTCTTGCTTTACTCCTCATCCTATCACCCCTGTTGTATTGTTGGCTTTTTCTACATTTTAACCTTTCTGTGACCTGTTGGGACAGGTCTCGACATTTTCCAACTCGGGTCTAGTGGGAACTTCTTATCCTACTTTCAGTGCATGCTGCCATCTGGTGGTCACATAGAGCTAGCTGATTCCGAAGATACTGACCTGGCTTCAGCCACAGCCTGAGAGACCCTTTGGGATATATACAACTCACTCTTCTTCACAAGAGAAGGATGAGCAGTTCCCTCCTGCTGTGATTTACAGCTTTGGAAACCAAATTGAGGGTCACTGTGAGTCAGAAATGATGGCAGTGAGTGAGATTTATATCAAAAAATATTTTCCATTTCATTCAAAATGTCTTTCACTGCTGAAAATAGAAAACGTTCTGTTTATTTCATTTTTTAAAAAAACAAAAACAACAAACCAGATAACCTTAAAAAAAAATCAAAGCAGAAAAAAATTCTGTCTTGAATAGATTAATAGGTAAGCTCTGCCCTGGGGTTGTTGGTATGAGTTGCTCTCCCCTCCTTCTAGTCTTTGTTCAGATGACACTGTTGTTCACAAATGTAAATTCTGTAGTATTTCAGCTCCCCCTCCGGTTTCCCTTCCTCTGCTGCATCTGCCTTCACCTCTACTCCCAGCATTTATCACCTTCTGACAGCTGATATCACCTACCTATTTTATTTTATGAATAACTATTGCGTTGCTTGTTTAACCCTCATGACTAGAATGTAAGCTCCACAATGGTGACCTAGTAATGTGTTTTGTTCACTGATATGAAACATTCCAGTGCCAAAAATTATGTCCATCACAGGGTGGTGGTGTTAAGTGCTGTCTAGTTGATTCTAACTAATTCCATATGACAGAAGAGAACCCCTGTAGGGTTTCCAGGCAGTAATCTCGACAAGAGTAGATTATACTACAATTTTATCCTTCAGAGTTGCTAGGTGGATTTGAACTCTTAGTCTTTTGGATAGCAGCCAAGTTCTTAAAAATTGAACCGTCTCAGCTGCTTGGGTCTCAAATGTAGATTGAATATATAATTCTTGATCAGTGTGGAAAAATGTGGTAGACTGTGTGCGTAAGCAATTATACCTTCCCCCAGTCAGGTTTTAAATAGCATCTTAGTGATATTTATCTCTGGCTTTATTAGCTTAATAGTTAGGTAAAGTTAAGGTAAAAATAAATTTTTTCTTTATATTCAGAATTCCAGATTACTTATTGGGGACATTTTAGATCATCTTATAATCATACTGTACCTCATTTGAACAGAACATTCTTGAGTGTATTATTAAAAATAAAAAAAAAAATCCATGAAAGTAGATTGAGAAAGGAAAATGAGAAAATGGGGACAGTTAACTCTAGGTAACTCTTAAGGGAACCAGAGAAAAAAGATTGAAAGGAACATTTTTCTGTATGTGTGGGTGTACTGTCAACTTTTTTGCTTTTTGCGTTTGAGTAGGTACTCAGGTTAAAACATTATAATCAGAAACTATCCCACACACAGTTAAACCTGATTGATGGCCTCACTGTTACTGAGTACCGTTGAGTTGGAAGCAACCAATAGCTGACCCTCTGATGGATTTTCAGAGGCAGTAATCAGATGAGAGGCCATTGCTCATCTTTATTCCACGGAGCAGGTAGTGGGTCAGAACTGCATGCCTTCGGGATTGCAGTGCAGCTTCTACCCAGATAGAAACCCTCAGAGTAACGTTCAACAAACTCTAGTTTATCCTCCATCTCTTAAACACAGAATTCTATCATTGTATTTATCACTGAATAAGACCCCCTTATTTGATGCACGTGGGTTATTGTGGGATACCTGCACGCAGATCACATAGACGTTCTGCTGTTTTCCTTATGATGAATTCCAGAAGAACAATTTCTTAATTGACAAATATGGGCCTTTTTTCTTCAAAATATGTCTCCAAACTGCTTTTTTAGAAAGATTGTCACTGCCACACCATTTGAGATTTATTTTTCCCAAATTTAAATCACATCATTAGATTGTGATAATTAAATCACAAATATATTTAAACTTAAATCACATTTAAAAAAAAAAATTCTTTGCCACTGTAACAGGCGAATAATCTTTTCATGTTAATTTGCTGCATGTATTCAAAGAAGCAGCTGTTTAAATTTGAGCCATTTTTTCTATTGAAAAATTGTCCTTTATTTCTGATGTTAAAATGTTCTTTACACACTAGATATATTGATCGTTTGTCATTTATGTTGCAAGTTTGTTTGTGCGTGTGCAACATGCAGAATCCTCTGCTGTGAGCCAAGGACAGGGCTTGTGAGCATGGGTTTATGTGTAGACATGCGGACCGCGAGATGCTGTTAATGAAGTCTTAAGTTTGTTATTACTGAAGTGAAAGTATGATATGAAAGAATAGATCAAAGTAAGTGATGACTTTCATGGGATTATTAATGATCTGTTCTTTTGTTCATCCCTGTATAGTTTCCTTCAGCCTCCAAAGCCCCTGTCTTCGCTCAGCACTCTGAGGGATGGAAACTGGAGAGATGGTTGCTACTGATGCAGTTTTTGTGGACCCTTGAAGAACGGGGAGGAAATGAAAATGAGGGTTGTGTTACCTAGCTGGCTGGGTAACAGTGGTTGTTGGGATATTCTTTCCCTTTTTGCATTTTAACGTATTACTGCATTGTTTTTCAATGGACCAAGCACCAGAGACTAATGTTGCACTTAAATATTTGCCTGAGATACTGCAACATTCTCAAATTCCCAGTTGCAGTATGGTGACACTTAGATCTAGGAAGTTTTTGTAGAACTGCTATGTACCTGAATACTTTTTGAGAGAATTAAGACGTATCAATAATGCTTTGCCATATGAGTTTTCTAAAGTACCTTGTTCCATTTACTTACGTGTTCTAAACATCTTTCCATTACATGTTCTTTAATGTATTTTAATACATTGCATATTTACAAGTAGGTTCTATAACTTATGTTTTGAAATTTAATTTTTTTATAGTTTACAGGAATTTTATTTTTTTGCACCTATTTTCTTTTTACACTTAACGTGAACCACTATGGAACAACTTAAAATTTTGTGCCATAAAAATATTTTTGTGGTAAGGTACTATTTTTTTAGCTCTAGGGGTATATCAGCAAAAGTACACCATACAATTTGAGAGACATAATTTTATGTTAAATGAGCACAAAATATTCTGAAGCATTGAAAGGAGATAGCCAGGCAGCAGAGTTAAAAAGACTTGTCTTTTTCCCTTTTATTTCCCATTGTTAATTTATTGTCACAACATGAGTTTTATGTTTATAATGACATCACAAGCTCATTGCACTTAAAACTTGCAATGTTTGCTATTATACTACGATTGGTTTTTCAATACTTTATTACAAAGGATGAAACTGTAATGTTTTCTTAACATTGCTTCTGGAAATGGATGCATTTTAAAGCAAATAAATCTTTTTGATAGACCTTTTACAAAACCCATTTGCACTAATGAATGCTTTCTTATGGTATATGACTTAATATTTGTTACTGTGTACACTGCTGTTTTGGAATGTTCAGAAATAAAGACTCTATTTCAGCAATATCAGGTCATGAATGAATGTATAATATAAAGAGCATAAATGCCATAGATATGACTGTCATGTTGTTGCTAGGTACCCCCAAGTTGCCTTCGAGTCATAGCAACCCTGTGTACAGTAGAATGAAATCTTGCCGAATCCTCTGTCATCTTCAAAACCTCTATGGTGCATAAGTGTGTTGTTGCAGTCAGTCCACTCATTGAGATTTGTCTTCTCTTTTCACTGACCTTTGTTTTACCAAGCATGTTGTCGCTGTTCAAGGACTGGCCCATCTCTCTTCAGGACACGCCCAAAGTATGAGAGATGAAGTCTCACCATCCCTTCTTCTATGGAGGCTTGCACCTATTGCATACCCTCTTTTATGCATTTTTATTCATGTCTTTTGTGTGTTTATCTGCTGGAGTTTTCAGAATGACTTTGGTTCTTTGCATATGTGCTATATATTTTGATGTGCCATTGACTTAACCATGGCATCTGGTGGTTTAAATCCATAGTAGCTATGTGAGATAAAGATGGGCAGGCACCTTTTAAGTGACTTACAGCCTCTGAAAACCTGCCATAGGATCAGAACTGAGTTTGAAGTCTTAACTATGTCTAGCTATCTAATATAGATTCAATATAGATTCAATATAGCATCTCAACATCAAGAAAACAAAACCTCTCACCAGTGGACTGATAGGCAATATTATGAGAAGTGGAGTAAAGATTGAAGTTGTCAAGAACATTTTAGTAGGATCCACAATCAGCATTCTTGGTTTTTTGTTTGTTTGTTTGTTTGTTTTAATTTGAATTTTATTTTATTTTGAGTTAAATTTATAGAAATTTTATTCAAGCATTCACTTTTAATTTTATACGTTGGTTTAAAATCTCTACACTGGAATAGCTGTAGTCCCACTTCTTCCTTGTTATTAATTGTCATTCACTGTTCTCTCCTTACTCTTCTTACAATCTGAGCTCTACTTTTGACTAAATGTCCTTTTGATCTTTTATGGAAGATTGCTATAAGGCTTATCTTGCTTGTCCTATTGTTCACCTTATAGACCTGTCTATTGTTTTCCTAGAGATGATGCCACAAAAGTGCATTCAATTCTAAGCTGAAAGGATTCTTCAGTCTTTATCAAAGCAGGGAAACTGTCCATTCTTACGATTTTAAGATTGTTTCACATGTATCTCCCACTTTATCCAGGGTCTCTGTCCCTTTCAGAGTGGTCAGCAGTGATGATAGGTGGGCACTATCTAGTTCTTTCAGTCGCCAGGTCGTGGAGGGTAAATTTGTCAGGTCCATTAGGACTGTAGACTAATGTTTCCATGAGTCTTTTGTTTTCTTCCCTCTTCTTTGCTTGGACAGGAAGAAACTAATTGTTTCACCTTAAGAGGTCACTCGAAAGCTTTTGCGATCTCAGTTGTGACTTACCATAATAACCTGTTGAAACTTGTTTTTTTGTGGGCTATGTTTACTTAACCAGTTTATCTACCTTTGAGAAATTTTACTTCTCAATATAGTTTTCTTTTTTTTCCTTATTATTAAATTTTATTAGTTTTAATGAACATTTACAGGGATTTTGGGTTTTCATTCCTTCATTGCTGCACCATTCTTTCTACCCTCCTCCCCAGTTTGTTCTTCTTCCCCCGCCATCCAAATGTCTGTTTTAATTGTCCAATTGCCACAGTGCTGGTCAAAGTCAGTTCTGATTAATCTCCTTTGTCAGTGTGTCCCTTGCCATTCCCTATCACTCCTCCCTGAGAGACTTCACCCTGTTTATTGCAGCTTTGTTCACAATAGCAAGGAGTTGGAAACAACCTAAGTGCCCATCAACAAACGAATGGCTAGAGAAGCTGTGGTATATTTGCACAATGGAATACTATGCTGCATTGAAAAACAAGGAACTCATGCAATATTATGAAATATCCCAGTCACAAAAGGACAAATATTACATGATGCCACTGTTGTAGAATGGGACTAACCTCGGGGTTGGGGAGAGACTGAGTAAGATGGGTTCAATAATGTATACTGCACTGAAACGGAGAGAGAAAACTGTTTAAAAGAGATATATAACTAGGTATTTCTGTCATCACAGGAGTCTAGAGCGAGGGCTACATGGTGGAGGGGACCTGGGGGAGGGTTTGTAAAACAATGAAAGAATCTTTTACTTTTCCATAATTTTTGACTCATGTACTTATAACTTGTTAGTTAAATTTGTGTCTTCTAGGTTGCAACACCCTCATGATACATCTTCAAGGATATGAACATGTACGGCTAAGCACAATTAATAACAGTGCATCTAAATTCCAAAATCAATCTCCATAATAGTCTATGTGTTTCCTACTGCCAAAGGGGCCCTTTAGAGTAGTGAGAGAAGATCTTCACCCTGAAACCCACAGCATCCCTTTTCAGCAGGAAGTAGCTAAGAGAATACGCCATCCCCTTTTCCTTATGAATCAGGGTGAAGACAATCAGCATTCTTGGATCAGGAGACATGTTACACTGGAAAAGTCTGCATTCAGGGACCTCTCCAAATTACTGAGGAACAGTGTTAGTTTGAAGACTAAGGTACGCCTGATTGAGGCCATGGTCTTTTCAATCACTAGCTATATTTCTGAGAACTGGACAGTAAGTAAGGATGCCAGAAGACTTGATAACTTGGAGCTGTGGTATTGGAGAAGAGTACTGAATATCCCATGGACTGCCAAAAGAACAAGTATGTGTTGGAGAAACTATAGCTAGAGTGCTTGTTGGAAAGCTTCATTTCAGATACCTGGCATGTTACTAATAGAGGCTATTCCTTAGAGAGGGAGATTATGCTTGGCAAAGTGGAAGGCTGGCAAAGGAAAGGAAGTCCTTCAATCAGATGGATTGACCCAGTCAGTGCTGCAATGTGCTCAAGTATGTCAGAGATTATGAGGATGGCACAGGATAAGACAGGGTTCAGATCCAGTGCTCATAGGGTTGCTGTGAGTCATACTCATCTCAACAGCTTTCAACAACATCTCTCCTTCTGTCTGTTTATCTGATCTATCAGGTGACACAGCCTTGCTTGCTGCATATAAGAAAGACTTGAAACGCTTGCTGCAGAAGATCAAGAACTACAGCCTTCAGTATTGTTAAGTCAGTTTTGACTTATTAAGTCAGCTGACCTGAACCATGTCCTATCCTGTACCATCGTCATCACTCACTACTAACGTCACCGTGTCAGTCTTTCTTGTTGAGAAGATCTTGTTCTCCCTTGCTTACCGTCCATCTTTCTAAGCATTTTGTCCCTTTCCAAAGAATAGCCTCACCTAGCTACATGTCCAGAGTATGAAAGATGAAGCTTTTCCAACATTGCCTCTGGGGAACACTCTGGGTGCAGTTTTTCCAAGACTCATATGTTTGTTCTTTTGGCAGTCCATGATATATTTTGTACTCTTTTTCTAGCACCACAACTCAAAGGCATCAATTAGTCTGTCATCTTTATTCATTGTCTAGCTCTCTGGTGCATAGCAAGTAATTGAGAAGACCATGGACTGAATCAGGCATACCTCAGTCTTCAAGTTGACATCATTATTCTTCAGTATTTTGGAGCAGTCTCTTGACAGCTGACTTACTCAAAGTAATACATCACCTAATTTCCTAACTGCTGGTACCAAGGATGCTGATTGTTGTTTCAAGCAAGATAAAGTCATTGACAACTTCAGTCCTTTCTCCATCTATCATAATGTTGGCTTTTGGTCTTGTGGTGAGTACATTTACCATCAAGAAGATGAAAGTCCTCACCACTGGTCCAATAGGCAGCATCACAACAGTTGGAGAAAGGATTGAAGTTGTCAGTGATTTCATCTTACCAGGATCAGCAATGAAGACCCTTGGTACCAGCGGTCGGGAGATCAGAAGACACTGTGTCAGGCAAGTCTGCTGTCAGGGATCCCTCTACAACACTGACAAGTGATGATGTCTGTCTGAATACTAAAGTGCATTTGATTCAGGCCAAAATCTTTCAACCATTTGCTACACATCTGAAAGGGAGACAGTGAATAAGAGTGATAGAATTGATACCTTTGAGTTGTGGTGGTGGAAAAGAGTACCACATATATCCCATGGACTGTCAGAAGAACCAACAGATATGTCTCGGAGGAAGTGTGGCCACATGGTGAAACTCCATTTCTCATTTTGGGTATGTTAGGAGAAGTGTTTCCTTGGAAGGGGACATCATGCTTGGAAAGATGGGGGGGTTGGTGGAAGAAGCTGACCCTCAATGAGATGGACAGACACAGGGATTGCAGCAGTGAGCTCAGGTATGTCAGAGTTAATTAGAACGGCACAAGATAGGACAAGGTTCAGGTCTGTTGAGAACATGATGAGTTGTGATGAGTTGTACTCAACAGCACCTAACAACAACGACGATCTGTTATGTGCTGTTGAGTCAGATGCACCTCATAGCAACCCTGTGTACAACAACCCTAAACCCTGCTCTATCCTGTGCCCACCTTATTGTCTCTGACACACCTATTCCCATTATCCCAGTGACTGAATCAGTCCATCTCATTGAGGGTCATCTTCTTCGGCACTGTCCATCCACCTTCCCAAGCATGATGTCCCTCTCCAAGGACTGGTCCCTCCTTGCAACTTGTCCAAAGAATGTCAGACGAAGCCCAAATCCTTGCCTCCAAGGAGCAGCCTGGTTTTACCCTCTCTAGGATGAACCTGTTTGTTCTCTTAGCAGTCCTTGGTATATTCAGTACTCTTCTCCAGCACAGCAATCTAGCTAGCTAGTTATCTTTTTATATAAACAAATAACAAGTCAGAACTGACTCATAGCTGACACTCCAATGGACTTTCAGAGGCTATTAACCACACAAGAGATTGCCCATCTTTCAGAGCTACTGGTGAATTTAAACTGTCCACCTTTAGGTAAGAGATTTGGAGGATGGTACAGGATAGGACAGAGTTCAGATCCCTTGTTCATAAGATAGCTATGAATCATAATTGACGGTATCTAACAACAACAACAACATGTGTACATATT